CATGTTCAAAGTGTAAAAATCTCAAATTTAAAGACCCACACGAAGTTGGGTATGATTTGTACGCGGTCGGTTTTGTTCCCAATTATTATAATTGGACTTCTCACGGCGAACCTTTGGATCCATCTGTTATACCACAAACGGTAGGTTCGTCTCGTTACGTCCCTCCAGAGATGAGTGCGTGGGGAGACCGTGCTGAAATGAGGTGGGACCAACAAATGGTATATGACGCATACGGTGTACCGTCTCAATTCAACCCCCCACAACCACCTAACGACCCCCCTGAAGCCTCAACCTCGTATCAACCAGATGCGGATGAAAATCCGACATTTTATCAACCTTATGTGGATGAAGGTTTGGCTGAGAGATTTCAGGATGTTCTAAAAGCTGTCGACCAACCTCTGTATGCTGATTGTGAGGGATACTCTCAGCTATCCGCTGTTACTGAGTTCATGAACATAAAAGCCGAATACAGTCTCCCTGAAACTTGCATGAATAGAGTCTTGCAGTCAGTAGGAGGGATGCTACCGCGAGATCATACCCTTCCCGATTCATATTACCACATGAAGCAGTTAATGTCTAAGTTGGGGCTACCTTGTGTTGAAATTGATGCGTGCCCGGAAGGATGTATGTTGTTCTGGAAGGAGGATGAGGCACTTGAGTTCTGCAAGTTCTGTGGTGGAGACAGATACAAACCTGTTCGTCAAAATAAAAAGAAACCACGACATAGGTCTGCACTGTCTAAACTGTATTACCTCCCAAGCCGTGACTACTAGAAAATTTGAAATATTAGTCACGGTCCAAAGCCGTGACTACTAAAATTAATTTTTAAAAAAAACTTAGTCACGGTTTCTGACCGTGACTAATACGCCGGAATGGGGTTCCGGCGGGTATTATAGTCACGGCTTCTGACCGTGACTAGTCCGTGACTAAATTTAGTCACGGTTCGTTGGACGTGACTTCAATTTAGTCACGCCCATTAAGTCACGGATTTAGTCACGGCCAGCGACCGTGACTACATCATTTAGTCACGGAAAAATTGAACTGCTGTCCGTGACTAAGTCCGTGACTACGACCGTGTTTTTTTGTAGTGTTGGAATTTTCAAACCTTCTTAGTCCTATTTTGGATGATATTCTCTAAAAAATATGAATTGAAGTATACGGAGGCAAAACTTCGGCCGCAAAAGAAACCATAGAACCGACCAGGTTATCCAGCAACCAGCAAGACCAGCCTTCATAGTTCAGTTTTGAGATTTCAGTACTGGCCATTGGGTAATTCTTTAATCGTTATTTCGAATCTTTAATTTTTTCAATTCGCAATTTTGAATATTTTCCCGAAATAATGCTAATTAAATAAACAATTCCCAAAATATTGTTAAGTTAAGAAAAGCCGCCACTTGAAGTGACGGCTTTATCAAAAGTATACGTTCAAAAGTATACAGGCTATAATGCAGGTCGATCAACTATGCCAAAGTTAACAAATGGGACCCATTTTTTCTTATAATTCGCGCCCTTACCGGGCAGGGGTACATTTGTTTATCCGAGCGTTACTTTTCTTATTGAATATGCAACTATAATTATCTTAATCTTCAATATGATTTAAAATTTCAGAAACAAAATCTAATTTCACACTCAAAGTTTCACGCACAATATCTAAAAATGTGTAATTGATTAGTAAATAATTGTATATGGATGTATTGCTGATATCCTAGATCAGTGCAATCTCCATTTGTTGCAAATTTGCAACAACTGAACTAACTACACGCCTAATTCTGGTAGCTTAATGAATTACACCGACCTTTTGAGAAATGAGCATAAAAATCAAAATAATAAATTAATTTCTCCGTAGATATATTTTTTTCAAACTTCAATGTGTGGATTATTCAAAGCTGCTTTATATGTGTAAGAATTACTCATGAGTAAAAAAAATGTTGACATTTTACAATTTTATTTGTCATATTATCCATATGGTCGTATATAGAGTAGTAAATACGAAGTACTCCGTAGTAATTATAACTTGTTCATTATCAATGTACTAATACTCGATCCTCATCCGAACGTATTGGAATGCATTCTTTTGTATTGGAATGCAAGTGTAAAGCTCTTTAGTGGCTTTCAGTAATACACTAATACTCGATCCCCACCCGAACGTATTATTACTAGTTATAAGTGTAAGCTTTTGTGTTGGAATAATTGATATGGTTGCATCCAACCATATATGTAACTGGGAATATTAGGCATTTGTTCAATATTAAAAGTATTATTTCATGCCTCGTAGGCCCTCCTAGCGGAGCAAAGGTCTTGACTACGGAAAAAGTATCGAATATGTTTCGCATAACGAGCTGAAGTTGGAAATTAATATTTGAATTAGGAGTTGGAATAATATGAAATTACATTAGAGTACATATGATTTATTAATATGATAAAACATTTATTACTATGATTTTTATATTTTCAGCATTTTAAAATCACAGAACCATACAGAGTATAATACTCCCTATAATATAATCCGAGGGAAGGCTTCCTGCTAAATCTTTGCACGGAGTACTACTTTTCGTTAAATATTACTCCATATTAGTGCTAGTCCTCTCCTAGCCAGCCCCTGAAATTGGCCTTTCTTTCAAATCCTAATTGCTTTGCCTTTGCGACAAACCCACACGCAGGGGCGATTTGAAAATACAGAAGGAATGAGTATGTCCTTTTCCCTTTTCTATACTTTAGTCCTGACTCGTTTATCTGCATTTGTGTGTAGTTGTGGAATGAAATAATCGGAAAAGTATTCACAGAATTATTACCCTACACTAGCAACAACAACTAGGAAAAGGCTATGAAGAAATCTTGAAGCTAAGGAAAAGAGCCAAGGCAGCACGGATGAAAAAATTACAGGCTCAGGGTACAGAACATGCGTTATTTAATAGGCTGAATAGCAACGCTTGGGCTAGCAACGTTTTAATTCAGCCTTTTTTCCTACATAAGCTCAGTTCATTATCTCTCCACAGTACAAGAAAAGTGCACATAAACCACACATATGCCATTTTTTTTTGCGATGACCGCATAACTGTCGTTAAAAACACCATTAACCACACATTTTTTATTTACCACATACAAAAGTGTGGTAAAAGATTAGAGACGACAGTTTTTAACCGTGGCCAATGTTTTTACCACGGGTGTTGTGGCGACACACGTAAAACTGACGCAAAACTGTCGTAAATGTTCCTCCTTACGTTTTTACGAAAGTTTTACGTGCGTCGGCACAACAGCTGTGGTAAAAACATTGGCCACGGTTAAAAACTGTCGTCTCTAAAATTTTACCACATTTTTGTGTGTGGTAAAAAAAAAAATGTGTGGTTAATGGTATTTTTAACGACAGTTATGCTGCCATCGCAAAAACTATTGTGGTTCATGTGCAGTCTATGTGCACTTTTTTTGTAGTGCCAAATGGGGTTATTTTTATGATAATTAGCTGAATTGAAAGAATTTCAGCTCTTTATGAGCTGAAATGGTATGCCAAACATAGCCGTTATTTGATCAATTACGCTAAAATCTTGCTCTCTATGTACCCAATTTAAATTGTAATTTCTATTGGTTTCCGAGTGACCAACTTGATTGTTTTGTTCAACTCATAACTTATCCGAGGAAACTGATTGGGGCGAGTGAAAGGGAGAATGGACTGTATTAGTGTCTGCCCTCTACCTTTGTTCAGCAAGTATGTGTGGACAAAAATTCAGCGGACTAGTGGCATCAACGTCTGGGCATCCAGCGGACAACTCTAGCAAAACTCTTTTTTTTATGAATGGTATAGTATTAAGGATTATATATCTTCACCATGTTGGCACTAAGGATTATATATCTTCACCATGTGATGCTTGTTTTAAATTGAAAAAGACAAGGGATGTTTTTCATAATCATGCCAAACATATACTCCGTATATTTTTGAACTTGTTTATTGTTATAATACCTTCTTAACCATAAAACTAATAAGTTTGACCAAAGAAACGCTAAGCTAATTATACTCCGTAGGTAAGATATAGAGCTACTCTTATCAATTTGACTTTTTAGGATGCAATGAGCATTTTTGACATTTAGCGGATAACGGATTATGTTAGCAGTTTGTCAATGACAGATTCAATCGATCACTGGGTTTGACTAACAAAATAAGTTGGCGAGTTGCCAGAAAATGTTTGGCAATTTGGTTGTTTGGCCATAACAATTAGAAGAAAATGTCATATTTCACAAATCTGACACAAAACTCTCATATTTGCGGTGTTTCCATTTCAACGGTTTCGTCCATAAACGCACTAGGGTCGAGCAGCTATTTATCAAAGAAAGTTTTAACTTATTAAAAACGCTAAAATAGGTCAATTCGTCATTTTTTACTGAATCACCATTTTTCGAACACCCCCAATAGAAATATCATGTGGTATCTGTGCGAAACCGATCCATGCATAGCGTTTTTTTGTGGCATGAGAAAAACAAAAAGAAATGATGACAAATTGAATGAATTGAAGAAAAAAAATAAATGAACGATGATACAGTCCAAATCGGGAGTACCTGCACACTGATCTGAATCGCACAAGAGGTCCAAGAGCGAGGACATGATGACGAGATTTTGAACTTGAATACACGGGAAGAACGGATAAAGGCCCCGAAAACCGCTGACTAAACCCGCTAGCGGAAGACCATCATAATTACTAATGATCTAATGTGTGTGAGTAGTGTATGATGCTCCAGCGTAGAGTTAGTTGGTAATTAGCATATGCATGCGTAAGAAGACAAACAATGTTAATGAATATAGATATGTGTTTCCATGTACGTACGTACGGACTAAGCATTTCACAAATGACTTGCACTTGATCTGATCTCATTCTCATGCAGTTTTCAACTTTTCTTCCACTTTGTCACGCCATTGTTGCACTACTCTTTGCGTTGGCAGTTTGCTTTCCAGATAACTTCATTAAATGACCCTATCCTACCTACATGTATCCAGCCTGGCCTAGAATCCCAGGTAGTCATCTCAACTTTTGCTCTATATATAAATTAACATTCACAACACCTTAATTACCTGTGTGAATTTTAAGCCCAAGTTAAAGAAGTTTTGCATATATATGGCCGTTAATTACTGTATTAACTTTACAAGCTAGCTCCATTTTGTGAAGATGGTTAGATGATCCTTCACTTACTAGCCTGCTGCTACGACAAGTTCGAGATGGGTTATGGAGCTGATCATTAGCCGGTTAGTGACTTGTTCAATTGAGTGCTCAAATATAATTGAAGAGCTAGAATAATGTTGTGTCAGAAATTCAAATTCAAGAGAATGATTTTGATTCAAACTCATTTAATTTAATCCTACGAGTATTAAACTTTTTTGGGTCAGTATTTATTATGTGGTCATGTGGTCGTGTCAACACATTCCTTTTTTTTTTTAACAAAGTGTCAACACATTCCTTTTAACTTTGTTTGATCTATGATTTTATGTATCAAGTTTTTGATCTATTTTTGCACTTCAATATTTCAATAGATTTTTTTTAGTGCAATTCCAAAATATGTACCCGAGTATAATAACTATTTAAATGTCAGTCAAACTTCGTAAATGATACGTCGTAAGATTTACTAAGTAGAAGAATTGGTTTAAGAATAAAAAATGTTGGGCTGATAAAATAAGCTGTGTTTTAGTCGTATCTAGCTTAGGTATTTATTTCATTAGAATTTCTCTTTGACTATCTTTTTGTTTTTTCTTTTTAATTTTCTATTTTTAAATATTAAAAAAAAACTTTTTTCAAAAGTAAAAACAAAATAATGAAAATATCAATAAGTGGTTTTAAATTTTTATTTGCCCTTTCTAAAAACAATGCTTAAATTAAACTACGTTTTGGTCAACGAGCTATGAAATAAATTGATATACTCCGTACTATGTATAGTCGTATACAATATCCTTCGAAGCTAAAATCATAAACAAAATACGGAGTAAAAAACACTAGCTAAAAAGTCCCTGCCTATAATCCTCAGTTGTCCAAATGATCTTCACATTATAAAAGCAGATTGATTTATTTCTTGATAAGAACATTTTAATCGTAACTTTACGTTCTTAGCCCGCTTGATCATCACCACGTCTCATAATTAATTAATTTAATCAGTAAATCAATCACGTTGCGAGCTCATGTTTATCACTTCTTTTCTTTTGCCATAGCTACTTCGATGCTTTTTAAGGAGAGTTTAATTTGTTAGGATGTTTTTTAATTGGATTGTAATTTTATGGACAGATCTGATATATTTAAGTGTAATTGGCTCTGGTCTGTTACGCTTAAGTCATGTATGATATGTATCGCTATAGGACCCGAATGATGAAAAACTATCAATCTAGGACCTAACATTTCATAGGTTTTGATTTATTTATTTTCCTATTAATTCCATTGCTAACATTTGATGATTTTTTCTTCACAAAAGTTTATTAGTTTAATAAAACTAAATAATATTTAAATTTTTTAAAATAAATAAATCAATAAAATCTATGAAAATTTAGGTCCTATATTGATAGATTTCAATCATTCGGGTCCCCTAGATCGATAGTTTTCCATCATTCAGGTCCTATATCAATACATTTCATCTTTTGGGTCCTGGATTGATAGTTCGTGTATCTTTCAAGTCCTGAATTGATAAAATTCCTTTATTATAACTCTATATCATCTAAGTCCAATTTAATATGATTTCATCTGGTATGACCCAGTATGAGACCGCAACCAATCCAATTAAGTCCTTTTTTTCTTTCACTGTTAATAGAGATTCAATATAGGAGAATTTCCTAACAGTAGTACCATGCATATATTTTGGCTAAATTTCAACATAAGGTACTATATTTCTCCATAAATAGAAGAAATTAATGTCATCCCGAAAATGTAGGTCCATGTTTTAGCATTATCATACATTAATCTGGTAATATTATTGTCATATTATATTGTTATTGTCCTTGTACTATACCAAAAAAGTCAATTAAGTCCTTGTACTATAAAATCATCCAATTAGGTCCTCAAAGTCTTAAAAAACAATCACAATAGCCTTTTCACCGGTAATTTGCCGGTTAGCCGGTAATCTGCGTGTGTCCCGTTGGTTTTTCTTTACTGTTCTTATTTTTTCTTTATCAGTTTCTTTTTGCCCTTTTTTCGTTTCTGTTACTTTCTTCTCTCCCCCACCACTTCTTCTTCCTCAATGGATTTCTTCCTCACTGGGTTTCTTGCTTTTGCATCCCGATCTCTACTCTTTATTTTCTTCTTGTTCATTTTGGTTTCCACAATAAAATATGAATTCCATAGTCCACTGCTTGTTAAATTGTTGTCTCTGGCCGACCAGCTCCTACAAATCCCCCAACCTCCGTAAGTTGCCGGCCGTCACCCCAAACTTCACCAACACTCCAATAGTCGGCGGCGGTCACCCGTCACGGACATCTTCCCAAATTGCCGTCTTGTGCCGTTCATCCCCACCACTTCGCCGACTGTCGCCCACATCTTCAACAATAGCTGGCCAAAATCCGCCTCCCGTCTCCCACCATAGTCCAATCACTGCCACACGCAGCCCGTCTCCCATATCTATCCTAGAAGACGCCTGCTGTCCACCGGCTCTAAATTCCCGGATTAACCTCCAACGCGGCTGACCATCGAAACAAACAAGACCAGGAGGAAGAATGGAAGAAAAATAGAAAGAAAATATAGAATGTTTAGGCGTAGCAGAGAACAAGGAGATAAAGAAATTGAACGGAATAACCGAAGAAGAAAGGAAAGAAAATAATACGGAGTAAATTAATGTCCAAGTCAACATATACCGGTGATACCCGTTTTCAACCGGCTAAAAGTATAAATTGAACATTTTTTATAGTTGAAGGACCTAATTGGATGATATTATAGTACAAGGACTTAATTGACTTTTTTGATATAGTACAAGGACTTATATGACAGTTTTCCCTTTTTTTCTTTCACTGTTAATAGAGATTCAATATAGGAGAATTTCCTAACAGTAGTACCATGCATATATTTTGGCTAAATTTCAACATAAGGTACTATATTTCTCCATAAATAGAAGAAATTAATGTCATCCCGAAAATGTAGGTCCATGTTTTAGCATTATCATACATTAATCTGGTAATATTATTGTCATAAAAAACAGTACTCCGTACAAAGTATATAATCACTTCCTTGTATGAGAAAATGTGGTACTCGATAAAAATACGGAGTACTCAGTAGTCAGTACGTATTATATATGACTGATCTTGGGAAGTAAAATAATACATTTACTATATTTGCGTAGTATACGTTAGTGTTTGAACGCATGGCTCCACTTACTTAATTTGAAATTATCAAATTAATTTGTTATACATAACAGTTAACAAGTTTAGATTTCATTCCATTAATCCGATCACTTCAAGAGAAGACGAAATACATGGAGCTAAACTAGTCATTGTAGCATATATCAAATTCATGCTTGACTCATCATCTCAACAATTTGGTAACTCAAAAATGTCGTTTGTACACTATTCGTAAAGTTGTCTATGTGTACACATGTCGTGTGTTAAAAAATTGCATATGTATAAGTGTCTATGAACCATTATATTGATATAATCAACTAACATAGTTTCCCTTAAACTACCTTTTTCTCTCAACTTAAGTGAATTTAAGGTTATCTAGTAAAACTAATTTGACCGAAATTTCAAGGTGGTATCACTATGAAGTATGAACCAATTACATGTATTTACGGTACCAATTTAATTCATCAATAGTTCAAATTGCATATTTGCATCAATATCAATCTGTTATGGATGGTATCATTAATATGTTTAGCCTATTCTCCGTAATGATCTATTGGCCAGATTTGGTGCTAGCTAGGAGTGAAAATCATGAAACCATTTCAGTTTGATCTTAAAGTTCTTGATGATAAGGCATCTCAAATGAGCAATTCTGTCACAATATCATCTAACAAATCCATCCATGGCATACTCTCTCAACTCTTGCCAAACCCCACAACATCCCATCATGACCAGCCAAGTTCAGTGCCAATTTCACTTGATCTATCTCTGAGCTTCAACTCTACACCCAGCCCTTATGAAGGAAAAGTTGCAAACACCCAAACAGAAGGGTCTGCCCATTCAAGACCTTATAGGTGCAATTTCTGCCACCGCAAATTCTACAGCTCACAGGCTCTTGGGGGTCACCAGAATGCCCATAAGAGGGAACGGTTTATCGCCAAACGAGCAACCCGAAGGGTTCTGTTCTCCGGCGCTTCTCTGGCTAGACGGTCGAATAACAATAGCTGGAGTCGTTTTGTTTTTGCTGGATATGCAGACAACAATGGTGATATAAGGACTGCATTTCCGAGGAAGGTTGATCAGCCTCCACTTGATCTTACATTGAGGCTTTGAATCGATATAAGAAGACCTTTGTTACGTGGCTTATTAGTTGGTTAGTCATCTGCAGGTTATTAGTATATTCTTGCAATTGGAATGTGAGCTTGCCTTGTTTCTAAATTCAAAAGATGGTTGGCCGTCAAATATAGACAACAAGTCTATGTTATTTTGCATTTCATATAGGCAAATTCTACTTAATCATCATATAGTACTCCGTAGAGTAGAACCATGCCATTTCAAATTATTAATAAATGCCAATGAGATAATGAGTTAGACCAATCAAACCTATTACAAGAATGGCTAATTTATTTGTGACCATCACTCACCTTTTCATATAGGTAAATTATACCGCATGATCATTACACCGTGTGCACGGTGTACGGTAGCGCTTTACCATAAATCAAGCAGCGCACAAAGCATCATTTCCATTTGCGGGACGGAGGGAGTATATGACTGATGATAGCAATGCACTTTGGGAAAAAAATTAATACATTTAGAGCCCGTTTGGTACCCTGTTTTTTTGTTTATTAGTATTGTCAACCAGCTTTTTCACCAAACATGTAGAAGCCGTTTGGCAGCACTATTTTTCGTCTTATCAGCCAACTTTTTCACCAAACATGCAACTTTTGCTTTCACGCGCTGAATTGTGTAATAAGCAGAAAAAGTAAGGTTGGAGTTACTTATCTGACTGTATTGGCTAAAGTTACTGTATATGACCATTTTAGCTATTTTTACATATATTTTTTTCTTTATTTCTTTACAAATAATTTTTTCTTAAATCAGCCAATGCAACCACTCCAGCCAAAACTTCATAAATTTCAGCAGAATCAGTCAAAACAGCCGATTTTGGTGCTACCAAACAGGCTCATAACTTTTGATTTCGTGCACTGAATTATGTATTAATAACAAAAAGTGAGGTTAGAGTTACGTTTACGGTTGTATTGGCTGAAGTTACTGTAGAGGAACATTTTAGAATTTTTTTCATGGAATTTTTTCTTTATTTTATTAATTTAATATACTTTAATTTTTTTTTAATAAATAGCAAAATAAACCAATTCACATGATTTGATATTACCAAATGGGCTCTTAATATATACTCAGTATACATTAAAGTGTATGAACTCATGGTACCACTTGAATCTTGATTTAAATTGACTAATTTGCACATAAGAGCTCCACGTACTTTCCCTAGAAAATCATACGACGGAATACTACCTATATATGAAATGATCAAATTCATTTGTTATACATACTCCGTATATAACAATTAACAAGTTTAGATCTCGATTATATTAGTGCGATCACTTCAAGAGAAAACGAAATAGATGCAGCTAATCTAGTCATTGTAGCATATCAAATTCATGCTTGACTCATCATCTCAACAATTTGGTAACACAATTAGCTCAAAAATGTCATTTGTACACTATTCGTTGTATACACTTGTACGTAGTTTGTCCAAAAGTTGTCTAACGTGTGAAAAAGGTACAAAAGTGTCTATGAAACATTATATATATTGCTGTAATTAACTACACATAGTCCCTTAAGAAGCTATACATGCATAGAGAATTTTTTTCTCAACTTATAAAGTGAATTTAAGGTTATCTAGTAAAACTAATTTGACCGATATTTCAAGGTGTTATCAATATGAACCAATTAAATGTATTTACGGTAACAATTTAGTTCATCAAGAGTTCAAATTGCTTCTGTATTATGGTATCATTTAAATGTTTAACCCATTCTCCGTATAATGGATCTATTGGCCAGGTTTGGTGCTAGCTAGTAGTGAAAATCATGGAACCATTAGAGTTTGATCTTAAAGCTCTTGAGGAGCCATCTCAAATTAGCAATATCACTTCAAGATAAAACCAAATACATGCAGCTAATCTAGTCATTCTAGCATATCAAATTTGCGCTTGACTCATCAAATCAACAATTTGGTAACACAATTAACTCAAAAATGTCATTTGTACACCATTGCTACACTTGTGTGTACCATAGTAATTTGTCCAAAAATAATTGTCTATGTACACAAAAATGTAGAAAAGTGTATGAAACACAGATTTAAATAATGAGTTTATGTGGTTGATATTGAATTGATAAAGTAAAAATAAAATATAAATGATTTAAAATCAAACAAATTTAACCAAATTTGGTACGAAACAATATATCTTATTAGGACAAGCCGAAAAGTAAAGATTGTTGTTATGTATGGTATCATTTATGCTTAGCCTATTTTGTACATATGTGTGTGCATAACACTCCGTGTTGATCTATTGACCAGGTTTAATTTGGTGCTAGATAGAAGTGAAAATCATGAAACAATTAGCCATCTCACATGACCAATTATGTGATAATATCATCCAACAACTCCATCCATGGCCTATTCTCTCAACTCTTGCCGAACCTCACAACAACATCTCATCATGACCATTCAAGTTCAGAGCCAATTTCACTTGATCTATCTCTCAGCTTCAACTCTTCAGCAAGCCCATATGAAGAAAAAGTTGCAGACACCCAAAGAGTAGGGTTAGCCTCTTCAAGATCTTATACTTGCAAGTTGCAATTTCTGCCACCGCAAATTCTGCAGCTCACAGGCTCTTGGGGGTCACCAGAACGCCCATAAGAGGAAACGGTTTATCGCAAAACGAGCAACCAGAAAGGTTCTGTTCTCCGCTCCTCTGCCTGCTAGACGGTCTAATAATAATAGCTGGCGTCCTTGGCTTATCAGTCTCCAATTGATCTTACATTGAGCCTTTGATCGATATAATTAAGACCTTTGTTATTACCCGGATTATTAGTTGGTTAGTCATCTACAGGTTATTAGTACATTCTTTAAATCGGAATATGTGAGCTTGCCTTGTTTAGTTGTTCAAAAGATGGTCGGCATTACTAAGTCAAATATAGACAACAAGTCAAGTTATTTTGCATTTCATATATGCAAATTCTACTTAATATCCTCCCCTTAATAGAACTACAATTCCCAAAAAGATGTTCCTGCCCACTGTAACTTTTCACAACATCCGTCCGATTCTAATAAACTGAATCTACAGCTTCCGCCTTTTCCTTTCATTTCATTTAGCTTTAGTTTATCTTCGACCGGTTCCTTGATAAGTCCATATTTCGACACGCATTTGATGCGTGTTGAGATCGGCTTTTGACGATTTTCCTAGCTTTAAGGTGTCATGAGTCTCATTATTAGCTCAAAGTCATATTTTTCCTGGCGTTGGTTCAAGTTTTGTATTTTTGGGGTCAAAATAAGGGAATTTGAGCCTGACATCGGCGCTTGAGAAGCAAGCGAGACGAGTCAAGATGCGTTTGAGAGAGAATTGAGAGCTTTGGAGGTTCATGATGAAAATTTGATGATAAAGAGCGAGGAAAGTGTCATATGAGTACATCAAATTGGGAACTGTTGTGGAGTAAAGAGTACACTAGTGCAATTGAGATTTAGATGTACATAAAATTGAAAAATCGATGTTAATTTAGTACCAACTTGTCAACTATTTTAACATATTAGGCAAATTTTCCCAACATCAACCATGTTTGTGATTTAAGTCACTGCTGGTGCTATTCGAAGTACATGTTAGGGGTGAAGGAGGTGAAATTTTCCCAATTCCATCTGGAGGAAGTTTGTGGAAGATAATTTGTGGCGGCGCATGGGTGGTCAAAGAAATTGTAGTTAGTTGGCATGTGTGGGGCTGGAATCAGACAGATCGTGGTGGAGTTCCATGGTGGGTTTTTTGTGGTGGGATGGTCATAGTCGGAGCTGCTAGTGGCATTGGGAGGAGAGATAGCTGGCGACTCAGGGAGAATGGGAGTGGGAGAAGTACTGCGGTGGTGGTTGTTCGGGTTGGTGAATGGACGGAGATGGTGAAGGGGTGTGCACCGGCGGCGGGCGGGAGGAGTCTAGAAGGTGGCGGAAGAGGAGGAAAGAGTTTGGAGGAAAACAAAGGGTGTCAAGTCGGAGACGGAGGAAGATTCCCCTGTGGAGAAGGAAACCATGGCAAAGCCGGTTATCCGGAGGGAGCGGTAGTAACTGGAGTGGGCAGCGGCTAAGGGTTGAACTCCACCATTTACCGCACAAATGCTAATTATTGCCAAATCAGCGTTTTAAACATGGTTATACAAGTTTGTACTAAATTAACACTTATTTTTCAATTTTATGTACCTCTGAATTACAGTTGCATTATTGTGTACTTTGTACTCCAGAGCTCCCAATTTGAAGTACTCATGTGACACTTTTCTCATAAAAGAGCTCTAGGATTGCATACGGGATCAAAAGAAGACGAATAAAGCTAGAAAACGGTGATCAGGATGACCTTATGTCAATCGTTCAAGCATATATTTTTGCAAAAACATCCGACATACACGATTCAAGTTCTATATGAAAGAAAACTTAAAGGGATACAAATCCTATGAAGACATCGTGACGAGATCGGAGAGGAGCAACGTGAAAACAGACGATGAAGTCAGATAATCGCTGTTGAGATTTCAGGATGCGACCTTCCACCATTTTATTCATATCTTTTGATTAGATGATTCAAATACAGTTTTGCAAGCTGTGTTGGATAGAAGACTTCATTCGCTACAACTTTGGTGAAGGAAGCATAGTCCAATTCAGAAGAGATTTATCATGGTGACCCCCTGGCAAATTTGCAAATCTTTCACTGGATGAAGAGGCTAAGGGATTTATTATGGTGGGTAGAAGAAGGAGGAGAAGGAATATCGTTCATCAGCCCCCATCAATTATCACAAGAAATGCTGCCAAAACGCAATCACAGGCTAGTCTCCCTACTCCCAAATGAATTGTCTCATATGGAATGTTAGAGGTCTGGAAGCCTCCTGTCCTAGACTCTCTAAATTACTAAATAAGTGGGTGATATATCTTCTTATTACTATTGAACCTATGGTTAATTATAATAAAGCTGAATACTTTAAAATGGAGTTGGGGTTTTCTAATGTGTTTTTTTCTCCTATCAATAAAGTGTGGGTATTTTGGAATGCTCAGGCAATTACTGTTTCTGAGATAGTTTGGGAATCCCAGTATACTCACTTCAAAGTGGTATGTGATAATTTTTTTGGATGGATTACTGCAATTTATGGGAAGCACACTCATAAAGAAAGAAGGCTACTATGGTCAGGTTTGACTCAAATTGCATCAACTATGACATCTCCTTGGATGATAGGGGGATTTTAATGCAATTGCTAGTAAT